AATAGTTTGTGCTATTTGTAGGATGGAATACATATACAACATTGGTGATCGCTGCGATGCTAAGGTTACAACACGTTCTAACGTGTCGAATGTGAAAAAAATATATGAAGCATTAGATGATGTCCATAAGAAGATGTTCTTGAAGTCATGCTTTAGTAAACTGTATGACATCGGGAACATGAAAATATCTGCTCAATTAATTCACAACCTATTATTACGAAGGGTTGTCTCTGTCGATGAGGATGAATTGCGGTTTTGTTTAGGCTTGGAAAAAGATGTTCGTTTCTCCCTATACGAGTTTATGCTCGTGACTGGATTAAGCCCTGCAAATGAGGAGGAGTAGAGAGTCAGATAAATGAAAATGGTAGATTGAGAAATAAATATTTTCCAACATCTAACAAGGTTACGCCTAAAGAATTAAATGAGGCATTTGAAAAAGAGGTACAAGACATGGATGACAAATACAAATTGGGTTTAGTGCTCATATATGAGACTGTGTTGAGGTCCCCAAAAAAAATGCATATATAGATCTTCACACTTTAGAAATAGTTGATGATTTGGATCTATTCAATGCATATCCATGGGGAACTAAAAGTTTCAAATTTATGGTACATGCATTCCTTAGAGTGTCGAAGGATCTGAAACCCAAATACTTATTGTGGGGATTTCCACTAGCGGTATAGGCAAATGGTCAAAACTTGTGATTTAGACATTGTTTTTATTTGATTTTAAATATTTGTAAATAACTTATGCATCTTCTTTTAGGTTTGGGCGTTCGAGTCTATTCCTCGAATAGCAAACATGTATCTTGCTAGGTTACCTATCAACGGGCTGCCGAGAATGTGTCGTTGGAAATCAACAATTACTCCTAATTCTCATGATATTGCTGAAGTCTTGGATGACCTACAAGTGAATATATCTTCTATATTTTAATTATTTTTGAAAGTTACCTCGAGTACTGCTAAAAGAATTTTGTTTGTCAATTATTTAGCTCCAAGTTCGTTGCTCATTGATAGCTTCTCCCAATGAGACTGAACAACAATATGTGAAATTATTCATTCACAGAACTAGATCTTCTATGATGATCTAGATCCACCGCAAAGACAGAGGGAGTGAGTCTCTTCGAATATATGTGATGAAGATGTATGCATATTTTTAACCTTAATTTATAATCTTTCGATACGACGAATTGGTGCTAACTATATGTTCTCTTATTTCTTTAGGTGCAAAGTTCAGAGACTGCTCATGTGCATCAACGTTCTCTTCCTACAAATCGAAGACCTCCACACAATCGTCAAACTTTTTGCAACCACAATGATATGTTGAGACAATTGTTGCACCACATGGAGAGGTTATTCGATAAATACGAAGTGATAAATAGGAAGGTCGATACTATAATGAATTGGATGAGACCAAGCCAATATCTCGACACAAATCATTCATTTGGGGCTGACGGAGTATTTGAGACCGAGGGAAATAACCATGAAGAGGTTGCAAGGAGCATTGAAAGGGAGACTGAGGCAGGAAAAGAGGCTGAGACATGGGAGATTGGGAGGGAGGCAATGAGTGTTGTGATGGAGACAGTGGTAGGGAATAATAATGGAGAGCTTGTGATATTGGAGATTGGGAGGGAGGCCGTTACAGGGTGCATTGAGAGAGAGATTGAGGCAGGGGGTGCTGTGATGGAGACAGTGGTAGGGGGCATTGAGTGGGAGGCCGAAACGAGGGAGATTGAGATGGAGATAGTTGTAGGGAACATTGAGAGGGAGACGAATGTAGTAGACATTGATGTGAGGACTAATGTGGGAACTGAGATGTACACTAAGGTTTTTACTCGGAAGAAGATAAATTTGAATAAAACTTATCAACAAACTGATGCCTTGATGCGAGATAAAAGACTTAGAAAAGCTTCAAAGTTAGTTTCATCACCATACACGACTAGAGCTAAGTGGAAAAGACATGTGGATAATACGAATGTTGATATTTTTTGGGATGTTGACCTAGTTAAGAAGAAATATTTCTCCAAATGGCACTCCGGTTTAGGCGATGGCTAAGTATCCTTACCAATTTATTGAATTTGTATTATTTTACTTGTCACTTGTATTCTTTTACAATTTTGCATTTTTTTCTTCAGTGTTCCATACAAGTTGGTTCATATCAATGTAAAAGACGCGAAAAAATGGTTTAACAATGTGTTGAAACCAGGGGGATGGTTTCTAGATGATGTAAGTATGGTAACTGTATAATACAGAGAGCAAAACAAGTAAATTGAATAGCCATTCTTCTTCGCCGCAGCTACTGCATGCTCGCACGATAAATGTTCTAATTGAAACCGTCTACAAGTACATGTTTTTTTATCCAAGTTAACAGTAAAATTCATGGTTTCATTTCTCACACTATATGTGTACTGGTCAATCGGCTCGACAACAAACTTTTTGGCTTTATCAACATTCTTAAGCAACTTCTCTTCAATTATTGGCGTTAGAGTGCTTGTATAGCCATGTGCATTCACACGCCTCTCATAAAACCATTTTTTCAATCTTTTCCTAATATTCTCAATCAGTGTAAGTATCGGATTTTGACGATATTTCTTAAACACCGAATTCAATGACTCTGCATTATTCGATGTCATGATATCGTAACGATTTCCCTGAAAGTGTGACCTGGCCCAAGTATGGAAACGTGATTTGACTAAGTAATCCCAAGCTTTGATATCAATTCTCTTAATTTCGCTCATATAATTTTTCAGTCAAAAATGTTCCATCAACGACAACTACCTTCCGCATTGAAGAGTGAAATCCGCGAATGCAAGGTCCGATAGCCATAAAAAAGTACTTGAAGCAATTCTCATTGTCAATCTCTAAAGACAATGCTGTTCCATGATTAGTTCAAGCCAAGTAATGAGAATATAAGCCCAATTTAACATAACCATCCTCTGGGGAACCTCTTAAAGCTTCCAAAGCACATTCTCTTGACTTTCGCACCCTTTGATAACTCATGTCTACCCCGAATTGTAATACTCCGAAATTTTTTGCTCGTTTAATTTGCTCATTTAATCGTTTTAGGATAGTAATGTAACTTTTCAAATTTTATTTGGCCAAACTATTAGTGACTACCACGTTTTCATGTTTTGGATAAATATATAAGCTAGCATGAGGTGGTTAAATATTTAAGCTAGCATGAGGTGGTTAAATATTTAAACTAGCATGAGGTGGTTAAATATATAAGCTAGCAAGAGGTGGTTAAATATTTAAGCTAGCATGAGGTGGCTAAGGCAACCATGATATGGTTATCTTTGTAGTAACAAGCAAGCATGTGGTGTCAAATTGTAGTAACAAGTTATCATGAAGTGTTTAATTGATGCATGAGCTATTTAGTTAAATTTAGGAAAACATCCATGCAACTTACATGTGTAGATGTAGGCAACAAGTTTTAGTTTGGTAAATAGTCACCCTTTATACCTTGCTTATTCATAGGTTTTCTTGCCTTTAAATACTTAAGAGAGGTTACTGCACATGTCTTTTGAAACCAGAATATTTCTTGCAAACAATAGAAAGATAGGATACTTGAAAAAAGAAAACAAAGGCTAGCATTTGCAAGTACAATTTTCGACCCCAAGTGTTAAGGTAAGATACTTTCTATACTCAAATGGTAGGATTTCATGGTAATATTTATGCTTAAGCTATGCATGAGCACCATAATATGAAAATTATGGACAAGTTTACAAAGTTAGATATCTATTTATGCCTTAGAACAAGTCCGAAGGGCACCGGCAAACCGGAATATGCAAGTATGTGTTTGAATGCTTTCTTTTGTATAGTATTAACATGTTAAATCCGAGCATGGTATCTTATTGAGTATTATTTATACTCATAGTCATTTATACTAAATTTTCAGATCCATGATCGCTGAGTTGAGTTGGTGGAAGTTGGTCGGCCTACTCGATGATGGGACAAAGTTATTTCGTATCTAAACTTCCTTCCCGTATGTTTTGTTCAAAGAATGCCTTCCTTATGTTTTGTTTATGGTGGTATTACTTATTATCATGTATGTGGCATGATGTAATATGGTACTAGAAGTATATTTGGTAATCGCATCTTTCATGTTCTGCTTAAAGACATTTCTATAGACTTTTTCCTAAAATGGTAAAAGAGACAGAAACTGGACAGTTTTTGCGGTCAGTTCAAAATGCTATTACTAACTCTATAAACACTTATTTTAGACCCTAAAAATACTGCCACATTCCTCTGTGAGTTGTCTTAATATTAGCATGAGAATCATTCAATTTGGATGTCTGTGGCTGGAGATATAAATTTTTAAGTGTCGGAGGGTCAATCTGAAATTTCTGTGCAGTACCTCACTATTTTTAATGAAACGTCCATTCATATGATCTTGGAAACTCTCCATATTTTAACCTGCAAAACGACTTGGAAATATCTTTCAAATACGAAAAATTTCATAGGAAACGGAGTTGGGGTGAATTTTATAAAAATGTTTGAATTGGCTGCCCAAACTAGCCGTAACAGCACCACGTCCGCATATGAAAAGAATAATTTCAAATCGGCATGCACTTCTGCTGACCATTAAAATTTATAGAGATATGTTACTATGAATTAAAAATAGGTTTCTGGAATGCATTATATTTTATTTAAGAGTTTTTACATGTAACAAAGGCTGAAGTTATTACGTTAGTACGTGACACTCGAAGCTTAAGTTCGAGGCGTTACAGCGTGGTATCAAAGCGTAGCCTCACTATCAAAAACAAGTATCCACTTCCAAGAATAGAAGATTTGTTTGACCAACTTAAGGGGGCTACAGTATTTTCAAAGATCGATATATGATCAGGATATCATCAATTGAAAATTAAGTCAGATGATATCCCTAAGACGGCTTTTAGAACACGTTATGGGCATTATGAATTTTTGGTGATGCCTTTTGGATTAACTAATGCCCCAGCAATATTTATGGATCTAATGAACAGAGTATTTCATAAATACTTAGACCAATTTGTCATAGTTTTTATTGATGACATCTTAATTTATTCAAAGAGTAACGAAGAACACGAGAAACATCTCACGATTGTCTTGGAAACCTTAAAGAAAGAGAAGCTTTATGCCAATTCAAGAAATGTGAATTCTGGTTGGATAAAATAGGTTTTTTGGGGCATGTAATCACAACACAAGGAATTGAAGTAGACCCAAGTAAAGTAGAAGCGGTGAATAATTGGGTAAGACCAACAAATGTTGGAGAAATACATAGTTTCTTGGGATTGGCTGGTTACTATAGAAGATTTATCGAAGGATTTTCTAAGATAGCAGGACCATTGACCCAATTGACTCGTAAAGGGATAAAATTTCAATGGACAGAGAAATGTGAACAGAGCTTTCAAGAGCTGAAACGAAGATTAATTACAGCTCCAGTGTTAACAGTACCAGATGGACCAAAAGGCTTCGTTATATACAGCGATGCTTCGAAACAGGGCATATGATGTGTTCTGATGCAGAAAGGAAATGTGATAGCTTACGCTTCCAGACAATTGAAACAATATGAACGAAACTACCCAACACATGATCTAGAATTGGCTGCGGTAGTTCATGCCCTTAAGATATGGCGTCATTAATTTTATGGAAGTAAGTGTGATATTTATACTGATCATAAGAGTTTGAAGTACATTTTCACCCAAAAAGAATTAAATATGAGGCAGAGAAGATGGCTCGAGCTAGTGAAGGATTATGATTGCAATATCCTTTACCATCCTGGTAAAGCTAATGTAATTGCAGATGCTCTTAGCAGAAAGGCGGTTGGACAATTAGCAGTATTAATTACTATACATGACCAGCTGTTAAAGGATTTCGAAAACTTACATCTAGAAGTAATTGCTCCTCCAACCCAAACTATCACCAGGATAGCGGCTCTGATGATTTGACCAACCCTTAGAGATTGAATAAGGGTGGCACAGGATGGCGACTCCTTCCTACAAAAGATTAAATTCGAAGTTGGTACTAACAAGCGAAAGGATTTTGAATTAGACCTTGATAAAGCCTTACTCTTTAGGAGAAGATTGTGTATACCAAAAGATGAGGGATTGAGGAAAGAAATTCTTGAAGAAGCACACTTAACTCCATATACTGCTCATCCAGGAGGTACAAAAATGTATCGAGATCTAAGAAGTATATTTTGGTGGAGAAATATGAAACGGTGCATAGGTCTTTTTGTTAAGAACTGCATGGCTTGTCAACAGGTAAAAGCTGAACATCCAAGGCCATCAGGATTGTTGGAACCATTAAAAATTCCACAATGGACATGGGAGCATATCACTATGGATTTCGTTATGGGTTTTCCAAAATCAGTTAGGGAAAATGATGCTATGTGGGTTATAGTGGATCGGTTAACGAAGTCAACTCATTTTCTACCAGTAAGAGTGAATTTCAGTATGGATCAATACACACGATTATACATAAAAGAGGTCATCCGTTTACATGGTACCCCAGCCTCAATTGTATCTGATAGAGATCCAAGATTTACCTCAAAATTTTGGAAAAGTCTTCAAAAAGCTATGGGTACCAAGTTAAACTTCAGTACAGCTTTTCATCCGCAAACTGATGGACAATCGGAGAGGACTATACAGACTTTGGAAGATATGCTGCGGGCATGCGTCCTTGATTTAGGAGGCAGTTGGGAAAATTATGTACAGCTGGTAGAGTTTGCCTATAATAATAGCTATCAGGCTACAATAAAGATGACACCTTATGAAGCTCTCTATGGCAGGAGATGTAGATCTCCTCTTTATTGGGATGAGGTAGGTGAACGAAGAGTTTTAGGACCGAAAATAATTGAGGAAACTAGTCAAGCGGTTGATAAAATAAAAGCTAGAATCAAGGCTGCCCAGGACCGATAAAAAAGTTATGCTGATAAAAGGAGAAGAGATTTGGCGTTTAATGTTGGTGATAAAGATTTCGTGAAAGTGTCACCGATGAAGGGAGTGCTTCGTTTTGGAAAGAGGGGAAAACTTCGACCAAGATTCGTGGGTCTTTTTGAAATTTTGCAAAAAGTT